ATTGCTGAATCACATTGAACATTTGATTTAGTGTGGATTATTTCGGGCAGTGATGATTTGGAAAGACATTTTGTCCAAACTACAAGTTACGCCATTTTTCAGTCCAAAATGATAAGAGCATATCATGGGAAATATGGATTTTAAAAAACCTTGCAAAAAGGTATTTAGTAAGATTAAATTTTATAAAAGATTCGTGTTTTTTGCCCACTGAAAATGATCATTATTCCTGCTTGTAATGTTCCCTTTCCTATCTTATGTAAAATTAAAATGAACTAAACAAGTTATATGTGTTAGTTTCCGATTCTTATCAGAAGTTCTATATTAAAAGAATCGGAAAGAAGGCATAGTCATTCATCTAAAAATAATCATAAAAATTCGTACTATTCATTCATATCACTGATAATTATTGATAAGTTAAATGAAACAATTAAATCATTTAAACGAATAAATTCATGCAAAAAAAAGTAATGCTTTCATTGCAAATCGATATAATTATTCTTATAATAACAAAAATAAAACAAATTTTGTTAATTTTTTTTCTGAAATTATTCAACGACGAAAAAGAGAAAGAATTATATGATAGTTTAGGGAAGGGAAAGATAAAAGAATTGCATACGACAATCTTTGTTATCGACGAATTTAATTTTAATTTTCAAAATTGAATCTTTGCAGAAAATGTACAGGAATGACTAACATCTTGTTTTTTCAATAGAGCACTTTTTCGTTGAATTAGTATTCCACATGTTTCTGGTACCAGTATTTCGCGTGATCGTTGATAACGCCAGCGATTAGTGCTCTCGTTGAGTTGTGCCAACTTTTGCGCAATCATTAAGCCAACCGACTTTGAACAAATTTTACAAAATTTTCAAATTTCAGCTTGAAAATTAAATATGGGAGAAAATTAGTCAAGAAAAAAGGATGAGTAATATATCAAATGAGAAGTGGGAGAGAAGGAAGAGTAGCCAGCCGAAGGAGAAGCGACAGATAGCGCAATCGTCACTAGACATCTCACTGAATCGCTAAAGGGAGGACTTGATGGAAGGGCGGTTTAGGAATGAGTGCTTTCCAGTCAGTACGACGCCGCCCATTGGTAATGTCCATCATTCTTGACTTCGTGACTGTCATCAATGGTCAAAATTTTCTTCCTTTCTCCACTCAATCTTCCCTTCAATTTAAATATTTGTTGAAAGAGAAAGATGAAATTCAAATTCTGAAGTTACTGAAGTTTTTAAAATTCAAAAAATTATAAATTCCGGAACTTTCCACAACGAAATACCTTCTCTTTTTTTAAAAAAGTAAGAAAAATGGACTTTTTTAAGTAATGATAATAATAATAATAATAATAAGAATAAAATTTAAAATATATTTGAAGCATCTATGAAATGTAACTGTTGTAATCTTGTAATTTGTAAAGTTATTTATAAATGGTGAAAATTTAGAGATGCAGAGAGAAGCAGAATATTTTGAAATTTCCGAAAGTATTATCGAGTATTGTTGATTTTTCGGAATTTCAACCAAAAAGAATACTTTTACTACCCATTTCGCGAAAGGAAATTAATATATCAATTGCTTTTTGCATTTTGAAGTAACTTATAACTGAGGTAAGTTAATGATTTCATTCGAATTTTTCATCATCTCAAAGCAGTTCTTTCTGCAACATAAATTAAACTTTAAAAAAATAAACATCAGCGAGAAACTCAGTATCACCGGGTCGTTTATTTATTAATATAATTTAAATCATTGAACTATATAACCTGCAAAATGTGTCTGCAGTTTTGTGATGCGAGGAGCTCTTCATTTCTCGAAATATTGTCTATGTGCTGAATGGAATACATATCTTCAGAGAGAAACACAGCAATTAAAACTTTCTCACTATTACTATTTTACTGAAAAAACTAATCTGATAAACTCATTCGAATTAGGGAGTGAATTGAGTGATAACTCAAATGTTGTTGTTTGTTTGTTCAATTATCTTAACATCGCACTTAAATTATACAATTGAGTTTACCGAATAAAAATGAAAATGTTTCATCGGAAATGATTGGTATTTCTAATGCCGCTTGATGATCGTATCATTATGATAATGGAAATTAAGAATTTTTGATTTGTCATATCTATCAAAAATTTAGCAGTTATGTAAGAAAAAACTATCAAACATTATTCATTAGTATATGATGAAAACGATTTGCTATTGCTGGTTAGTCTTTGAAAACTGAAATAAAAAAGGAGAAAATAAATTATAACAATGTTCTAATTATTATTACCATCAATACCTTTCGGTCAAAAACAGCTACGATAGAACAGATCATACAGAACTGTTACAGGATGCTTATTGACTTATCATTCATTGCAATCTATCACGCAGTTATCAAATTTGCCATTCACTTAAAATTGATGTTTCTGTCAGTTGATTCCCAACTATGTTAGTTTTCGATGATTATTACTTCATCCTTTAACCCCTTTAAATGTTAACAGTAATGATGCTCATAGTCCAGAAGATGCGAGAGATTTGAGATCTGAAAAGTATGAGAACAGATCTTAAACAGATTGTATAATATTTCCTTCTTCGTAGACAAGATTTTATCTTTTCCAATAATGCCAAAATCATAATAATGATAAGTATTATCGAACCGAAATTGCTTCATATTTTCTTATGTCATTAAAATTTAAATTCGGTAAAGTCGCATTACGCAATTCATGAAAGAGAGTAAAGTGATTGACAACCTTCATATTCTTTTGCATTTTTTTATATTCTTTCATATTCTTCATATTCTTTTGCATATTCTTTATTTAATTATTCCCATACTATAGTTATTTGTTTCTATTAATTACTTTGAGAACATCCGAATCTTTGACAACTAATTTTGGAGACATTTTAACTCATGAGAGCTAACTCAAAGAATGCAGTTTCAGTTAGGTGGCGGATTTCTTGAAATCAAGATTCCTACTGCTTCCAAGCAATTCACTAAACCCGCTCTTAGTATTCGATGTGATATTCAGCTGTACCAAACCTGTACCAACCTAAAATTCAATAATTTTCACAGCGTTCCAAAACTTGCAGCCTATTCAAAAGTGGTTTGTGGCGGGAAAGTTCGGAGAATTTTTTTTCACTGCACGGGATTAATTTTATTTTAGACAGATTGTGTCGATTTAAGGTCAATGTCGGAAAGGCTAAGCCTGAAATTAGGGTACGACGCGGTGAAATGTCGTGAACGTGTACAGTTTGGCAAATATCGCTTCGTCAAACCTTCTGGAAACTTTGTAATTCCCGACTTTACGGTAGTATCTTTTCTTCTTTTTTACTTTTGTTTCTCTCTTAGCACTTCTTATATTGTAATTCTCTACCGATCAGGAAATTAAATGATTTTCCGAATATCTCACAGTTTCAGTGTTGCAAAGGCTTGCATGAATCACAAGTATTGGCATCGACATCCAAGACTTGCTTAGTATCGTCTATGCCCCAAAAGAAAGAAACTATCTCGAATATCTCTGATGACTTTGATGACGATGAATTATTGCGACTTGCTGATGCAACCGAACTGGAAAATTTTCCAACACCTACATCATCCAGTGCCTTCGTTGTTGAAGTTAACCATCAGTATCACTTCTTTACTTACGTTATTCTTTCATGAGATTTGTAGCCTCTGCAATAGCTTATTCTATAAATCATTACTCATGTAGGCAACATTCTATGGATAAATTTCATACAGAATAGAGGACGTTTTGGCCATGAAAGCGCTGTATCAGCCATTCCGGATCCTCCACGATATGATGAGATGTATCTCAATGATTCATTCGATGGTAAAGAAATTGAGTTCCACGATTCTCCAAATGATTTTTTTGATGCTGATATGGAACCAGATGAAATATTGCTGGTACTTTGCTTTTCGCTCTAGTTTAACTTCAGAATATGATTTCTAGTATTAAGAGCTCTTTTGCTGTGATCGTTCTTAACAGTGTGCTTTATACTACATTTAAATCCATAATTTTATAGCCTATTATGAATCAACCTTTAATAGTCAATAAATCTCAGTTCATATAACTGTTTTTCCCAGTTGATTTTTATCTTATAAGAGTTTTAGATTAAATTGCAAGTTTAATTTTTTTTAAGGTGACGAATAATGAAAGGCTAGTAACTTGTGACAGAAATATTGGCAGTGAACAACAAAGCTCTGTTGAAATAGTAATGTATGCTTCACGTTCGGTATCATCAAATCGCGAAAGCATAAACACTGTTTTTAATGATTTATTTTAGAAAGAGAGTTCACTGAGATTCTGAAGACTTGCTTTCTACATTAAATTTTTTTAAGGCTTTCGCCAGATTTCCCCCCTTTGAAGTCTGAGATTACATCACGCGCGCTACTTTATAATAATGATGTATTCGATGATGATATGGTCGATGATAATATGGAGGTTTGTGAATTGATAAATAACATCATTTAGTAAGAAAAAGCAAGGACGTTCCCGCCGATTCTAACCACTATTGATTAGAAAAATTGCAGGTGGAAGCACAAGAAAGCATTCATCCTGCCTCTCATATGGCTGACGAATTGGGCGATGCACATCTTTTGTCGTGTAATCCGGAAAAACAAAGACACGGTAGGCATTGACTTATGTATATTTACATCTATAACTCTTTCTATTCTTTTGCAGATATGCATGGTCAGTTTAGAGCCTTCCTGCAAGATGACGGGGATCAGTTCGAAGATGAAAGTAAGGTTTTTAATAAAAACACGGTTTTCGATAAAACTTTTTCAAAGTTTTGTTGAAACTTTTTTTAGTTGTATGATTTTCAACATGCTTCAAATGCAATTTTTAGATAAGCATTTGGGACAGGAGTTGTGCAATGAAATGTATCATATTTTGAAAAGCAAATTTGGTTTCAATCAATTTCGCCACCGCCAGAAACATGCTATTATTGCAGCTCTTCTTGGATACGACTGTTTCATCCTTATGCCAACAGGTCTGTTAATATTAACTTTTCTACTCCCACGTACATTTACTGTAAAATGTCTCAGAAGCTTTATTTCAGGAGCTGGAAAAAGTCTATGTTATCAGCTTCCTGCTGTTTTGTCAAAGGGTGTTACGGTTGTTATCTCTCCTCTTAAGTCACTTATCGAAGACCAGAAAATGAAAATGAAAGAGCTTGAGGTAAATTATAGAGTTTTCAAAAAATGAAGTGATGTTTCGGAAGTCATTTTAGAAATAGGGGTAGATATTGAGAGTATAAATGAATAATGTATGAGTTGTGAAATAACAATTTTTCAGGTTTGTTGTTATGCATTGACGTCTGAGCTCAGTCAGGCTGAATCTGATCGAATTTATGGCATGTTGAATGAAAGCTCTCCAAAAATAAAATTACTTTATGTGACTCCCGAAAAGGTATGAAAACTCTTTTCATGAAATCCTTGTCTGAAAGTTTTTAGCATAATTTTAGAAGGCATATGATCCAAGAGAGAAATGCAAATTTTATTCGTTTTTAGATAGCTGCTTCCGAGAAATTGAATAACGTCTTCTTTTCTTTACATCGGAGGGGTTTGCTTACTCGGTTTGTTGTCGACGAAGCGCATTGTGTTTCTCAGTGGGGTCATGATTTTCGACCTGATTATAGAAAACTGCAATCTCTAAGGTCTTGTAATTTGAAGTTTTTTTTTGCTTCTTCGGCTTATTTCGCATTGCATTCATTTTATGCAATGTTGTAAGTCTTTTTTCAGAAGGATGTTTACGGACCCAATGGTGCCAATAATGGCTCTCACCGCTACAGCAACACCAAAAATCGTAACTGACACCCGGGTGCATTTGGCGATTCAACAGAGCAAATTGTATATATGCTGATTTAATTCAATTTATTATGAATTTTATGATTAATGAAAAAAGTTTTTATTACTTTCTCATTTTACCATTGAAACTATAACTGTTTCATTATTTTTTAGATCTTTGAAGCTTGATTTGGTTTGCGAAACATTTCAAATACTTTAGATTTATAAGTAGTTTCGTGAGGACCAATTTGAAGTATGATGTCATCGCTAAAGGACCGCGTTCATTAGTGAGGGTAATGGATCGCATGAAAATTTTGTATCCGGGTAAATCAGGAATTATTTATTGCCTCTCAAGGTATCAGTATTCATGTTTTTTCGGAATGTCCTACTACAGAATCATTTGTTTGTATCTCTGTTGTAAAGAACATCATTTTCAAAACACAGCATTTCCAAATTGATTTGTATATATTTGGATCTTATTTCCAGAAAAGATTGTGAATCGGTCTCAAAAATGTTAGAAAATCAGACTATATCTTCCGAGGTATACCATGCAGGATTGAGTGATAAGAAACGGCTTGAAGTACAAACGAAATGGATCAATAATCGAGTAGACGTCATTTGTGCTACCATTGGTGTGGTCATTTACTGCTTCCATTTTGCTAGTAAGATAACGTTGAAAAGAGCAACTCTGCTTTATTTGAAAAAAGCTTTAAAAAGCTCATTTGTATTAATTCGTCGCAATTATTTCAGCATTTGGCATGGGAATCGATAAACCAGATGTTCGATATGTTATCCATTTTAGGTATTATTATATTTTCAGTCACTTGATTAACTTAGTGTTTAAGTAAAATAAAAATTTTTTTCTGATTGTTTTGAAACAAATTAAATTAATATTTACTTAACAGCATGCCAAAATCAATCGAGGGATACTACCAGGAGACCGGTCGAGCCGGACGCGATGGCTTAAATTCATATTGTGCAATTCTTTATAATTATAATGATTCAATAAGAATCAGAAAAATGATCGAAGGTTTTCGATTTTTTATTTTGCAGTAATTTATGAGTCGTGGGTCCAAAGCTTGCATTTACTACAGTTTAAGTTTAAGTTTTAAATGCCTTTTGTTCTTGTCGCTTTGTGACAGTGAATTAATAATTCAGGAGAGAATAATACACAAGGTGTACGAACGATGCATCTCAGTAGTGTGCTTCAAATCGTAGCATATTGTGAAAATGTTTCAATTTGCCGGCGGAAATTGCTAGTGGAACATTTTGGCGAGGTATTTTGTGGATCTTTGTTATCAAATATTGAAATACTTAAAAGAGGCATCAAAATTTTCAGGTTTATGACGCAGAAGCTTGTCGTACAAGTGACTCTCCTTGTGATATTTGTGTCCAGCAAATCAAAAACGCGGTATTTTTTGAAGCTTTCGAAATGTCTGTTTGAAAATTCGACATCTTTCTAATAATTCCTCATGTTTAGAATGGATATAAAGTTTACGATATGACCGAAGAGGCGAAACTTGTAGCCCAGAGTATGCTACATATGCATAATGTTACTTTGAAGTATCTCGCTGACTTATATCGTGGCCATATGGGACAAAAAAAATTCGCAGATACGGTTGGTCTAGATATGCAAAATTCGTTGTTATCTGATTTCCCGATTTCTTAAAGTGTTATACTTCATTACTTTTGCTTTATGTTTTTGATTCATAGGCTGTTCGGTTGGGTCATACAAAATATGCAATGTATGGACGTGGTGTTGGGATGCAAGAAATGGACGCACTAAGATTTGTCAGGAAACTGGTAATTGATGGCATTATCACGGAACAGCTTTATAATACGAAATTTGATACAACGGTTTCTTATGCTGAATTAACAGACCTAGGTCGGGAATTAGCGAGTGGACGCAGCAGGATGAAGGTACTAAACAAAGTATTAGTTTGTAAATCGATGGTGAATTACGTGTGTGGCAAATTTAATTGACAAAAATATAGTAATCTTAAATGAGAGTCCAATCCCTTTATCAAAGAAGTTCAAACAAATGCATTAGGAAGAGCCATGAGAGAAAATAGAAATTGTAACTTAACTAAAGTTTAATAAAAAGCATGAAATTAAATAGAAGCGTTTTTCGAATTTTTCAGGTCTATCTTCACATATCAAATCAGCCAGACAGTGGTCGACGTTCTAATGGAATGGAAGTAACAGCACTAATGTCGATAAATAGTGTCAGTGAAGTAGAGGCTCTGAAGGAAAAGTTTGTGATTTTCACTTGCTTACTTTCTGTCTGCAGGCTGTTTTTTGAGAATTTTGAATTTTAGACATATGGTGAAGCATGCGGACTTGTTTAGCAAGTGTAAAGGAGATCTTTTACGATTATTTTCTGACATTGCATCTGCAGAGGGTCTTAGCAATCATCAGGTTTGTCTCCTTTTTCCGATTACAAATGTTTGCAAAGCTCATGAAATTTTAAATTAAAAAAGGATGACGCTTTTTGATACATAGGTTTTATTTCAGCCTATTATTAATTCCGAAGGTATTGAACAAATAGCAGCATTAATGCCTCGTACGTATTCCGATCTCTTGCAAATTGATAGCATGACCGCGCGAAAGGCTGAACGATATGGGGCTCAGATCATGTGCATGCTAAAGGAATACTGGAATGAATTAGATGGTAATTTCTGTTCTGAATTTGGGGCAAGCGAAAGGCGAATAATTAAATAAAAAAACTGAATAGCAATTGAATAAAATATTTTTTAATGACTGATTACAGTTCAAATAAACAGTTATCATTTAAATCTACAGCACGTGAGGAGAATGAAATCAAACGACAGTTGAATCATATGAATATGAATAAAGATATTGTCGGCGGTTTCAGGGACATACAAATAGATGGTATAATTGTCCCAACTTCAGGTTAGAATCTTTTCTGAAAGGTTATCAGTTGCAGGACATTCAAGTTACTCATTAAAATTCATTTAGTATCGAATTCACAAATAGTTTCTGGTCGCGGAAAATATATGCCTTACTTCGGAACGCCAGCTCGTTCTGTTCAAAGCGGAAGTAGACGAGGCAAAGTTCGCAAGAGAGGATTCAACGGATCACAAACGTAAGTTGATAAAATTTATAACTGGGATTATTAATTTAAAATATGATGACATATGATATAATGTAAACATATCATATGCATTATGTTGGTATAATCGTTTTGTACAATTGTTGACTGACTGCGTACGGAGAATTGCTAATGCAGCTATCGACAATAGGTTCGACTGAAGCATGTTATCTTGTAGTTAATTGAAATATATTTGCTAATCTAGTTTTCACTTCGTTAAAATTTTTAGTCGTTATTTAAAGGTCTAATTCGTCAAGAGGTTCAACTCGCTCTAGACATGGGTGGAAGAAAACTATGTCTCGTACAATGAAGGCACCTATAAATCGATCACTTTTTCCAAATCTGTGAAATTACCTTTACTTCAGCTTATCATTCACTCAAATTGTATGATTATTCATTTATTGTATTTCGCGTATTTGTTGAATATATAGATTGTTGGTGCTTTTTTTGCTTTACTCGTTCTTCTGTGTCATTCTTTTCATGTTAATTCTTTTTACTTTCTCCTTATGCAAATAGGCTTATTCTTTCTTTACTTTTAGTCCGGTTTTTGTACTGGTGTTATTTTGGCAAGGCTCCTTACTGTAATAAAAAGTATCTCACCTACTTGCCAAAAAAGCAGTAAAAACCAAGGTTCTCTATTATAATAAAGAGCATCTCACCTACTTCTAAACAAGCAGTGGCTCCTTATTATAATAGTGTCTCATCTATCTTTAGAAGAAGCATTAAAGCACTGTTCTTTACCTTTTACATAATTTCACTTTTTGCTATTGTGATTGGTATTCAAAAACAGTTTTTAACTAAGCCGATCCACAAATAAGGTGACTGAGCTGAATTAAGCCGATCCACAAATAAGGTGATGAGCTGATGAGCTGAATCCTATCACGCACCGATTTTGGTTTAGTTGGTTTTTGGGGAAATTATGACCCCAGTGTCCATTTATTGGCTGAATATTGGGTTTCAGGTTCACTTCGTACGCTGCTCGTTGTCCTATTTTAAAATCCCGCTGTAAGTGGTAGCACATTTTGTTTGCAGCAGAATAGCGTTGGGACGTCATTGTTTGTTTCGCGGGTGATATTACATAGCGGTGGGAAATTAATGGCATGAAGAGATTTGTTGGGGGCGATGGACACAAACGGGCGACAAGGTTAGGCTTTGATATTCACTTATCATTCCAGTATATTCAATTTTGGTATGAAGGATTTATTGGAAGGAAACACTTCCAAACTTGATTTATGCGGCTTAAACATTTTCCACTCTTTCAACGCTTTTTTTTCCAGGAAGTACTGATCCAACATATGACATAAATTCTTTAGATATCATTGAGATTTTGGTAGCGAATTCACTCAATCTGAATTCAGGTACACCGAATGTGGAAAGATTAGAGGTTGGTGGAACAATGACAGGCAGTCGATCAAGGAATACTGCAACAGAATCATTGCGAATGCAAAGATTACACAAAATGTTAGATCTGACAAGATTTGTGCAACAGCTGGAGGAGCTATTAACTCAGCCGATAAAGTGAAAGTTACATTCGTTTAGAATTAGAATAATGATCTGATTTCGTATTTCTCTACAAATGTTGTTCAGCTACTTTCAAAGTGGTCAGTGTTTGAAATCTTCACTGTTTTCAGGGTTCCAGGCACGTCAATTTTACCTTACCCTGGTTCGCCTATCAAAGCGCGCCACAACATCGCCAGTATGTTCTCGGTGCGATCTCTGTGGGCAACAGACGAAGAGCGAAAAGCTGCTGTTAGTCAGCTGTACAATTTTAAAACTTTGAGGAAACGAAAATGGATTCAAAAAATTTTACTTGAGGAATCGGACTCGGATTCTGATGGCGAATTTCCATTTACTCTGAATGATCTGCATACTATTTTGAAGGTTTATTTTGTTTCTTTATAAAAAATTTGTAAAAATGATTATTTTATCAGGTCGTGTTGTATTTAGTTATTTTTAATTTGTCTTAACTCAAAAAGTGTTACAAGCTACTTGATTTTTGGTGTCTTAAATTTTCACTATTTTTAAAAAAGGCACACTTTAAACCACTTTTTTAATATCCTTGTAGTAGATAACTTCCGGTTTTATCAGATCTGTGAATTCCTCGAAAGCTTTAATTGCATTGAAGTAATAATTATTCGAAAGCCCCTATAAAGAAAAAGATGAATTTGTATCGCTGAGGAATAAGGAAGGTTAAAAGTTGATTCACATGAGATGCTGTTCTTATGTGGCAACTAGTACAGTTAAATGCAGGATTCAAAATGATTTTGTAAAATTATTGCCAGGACATGATTCCTTAAAAAGCTTTCCTTAAAACTTTACAGTTTGTAAAATTTTAAAGTCTTACATAATATAATATTATCCATTTATATCAATGTTCAAAATTTTTACAAGAATTTACATTGGCTGAGTCCTGAAAATTGAATTCTGAATTCTGATGTGTATCTAGGAGGAAAACAGCTTTGTTGGAGTTTTTTCGTTTTAAGCCGAGTCATTTCAATATGAGAGTCTTCAGATTTTTTTCAGTTGCATCGTCGAAGGAGAAAACTACAGAAAACGTATCACATCAATGTTCTCAATTCTCAATATACTTATTATGGTGCTGGTTTACTAAGCAATTACGATCCATTTCCAGAGCATCAAGATAGGATAAAAGAAAAGTATGGTCTTAAATCTAAACAGAGCTGATATATTCTTACAAGAATCTCATTTCATTCGCCTTTATAATGTTAATACTAAAATTTAAATGTTTGGAAAGAAAATTTTTTAATCAAAGAAAGTTGCGGATTAGGAGTTTTGAAAGACAAAATTCCTTAGAAATTTCACTTTTCTTATGTTTTTATTTGTTCCCTTGGCTCTTTGTCTCTTTTTGAAATTCTGTAAGTTTGCTAACTCACTTTCGGTTTTCCAGTAGGACCTGGAGATTATCTTATCTTTTATAGAATTGAATGGAATAAAAAAATTGAAAATCTAGGTTGTATATCTCTGTATCCTTGCTTTCAATCCGTGAATGATTTTCTGGATGTGTTTGCTTATCATTTTTATTATTTTAGATTGTTTTCAGTTGTTCTTTAAATTATTTTCATATGCTGTTTTAGTATTTCGACTTTTGATTTCATGCTGTGCTCTCTGAATTTCCTTTTTATCTGTTTTGATTGTGGAATAAATGTGATATTTCTATTCTTGTGAGATAATTCTTTTGCTATTGGCGGAAAAGATTTTAATTCAAACGTGAGTATATTTTCATTTAAAGTGATTACATTTGCATTCCATTTATATCCAAGAGGAGGAAATGGCAAGGAGAAACGTAACGTATGGAGAAACGATGTTCCCCTGCCAGTTTTTCGTCCTTCCCAAGCTTTCATGCATGATCTGCGTTTTATTTCATTTTTAAAAGGCTCGATTTTGGTTGGAGAACATAAATATGAAGCAACTGATACGGAATAAGTCGCTCAACCCTAACTTAAGTATATTTTACCGATATCAAAGTACCTAAAGAAGTCCTCGTAAGTATTTAAATCTGAATACTTTTCATCGTCGAGGAAAGGGATATTTCCTGATTATACTGAATATTTCTTGTTGCCGCATATTGTGCTTCCCGGAGTGGGTAAGGAGGGGGAGCGTGTATTTTATGCTTTTAAGCAAAATCTTCATGGCGTGCGAAAAGGATACAGGAACGTTGTTTCTTTGAGTTAAGTTTTCAAAATTTCAAAACCAACCAACGTTGCGGGACTGAACGCTAAAACTCATGTATAATTGCTATGCTAATAGCTCTCGCCATCGCAGGTTGGATTACCTTTAATAACTATTTAAAAATGGGTAATTAGGGTCTTTTTTTGAATACATTCAGAAATAGAATAAAAATGATTTTACAGAAGAAATGGGGGAAGCAGCTGAATTGGCCGAACAGCTTCTCAACCCCCGTTCCATGCTCAATGTTGATGGCTTACTGGCAAGTTTTTTTTTTAATTTCTTCCTTATTCATTAAAAAAATCACACAAAACGCAGAAATTGTGCATGAAGTCTTGTTACTTCATACATTTTTCATTTCACGCGTGATGGGTAGTATATATGTACTAAATGAGGGGAAGAACAGATATAAATCTACTTGGCTCAAACTAACATTATTTTGTATAGAGCTTTGTTTGCAGGATGCGCTAGCGGCCTTGGTAGAAGATTGCAATTATCCTTTATTAAGACGGACAAAAAATATCGACAATTTTGTTACTCGTTGTGAGTAACTTTTCTTTTCTAAATGGAAACATTGTTTAGAACAGTAAACTGTTCATTTTGGTGAAAAACAGTTTATAGATTTCATGATATGCGATTTCATAGAAATTTTCATCATTCTGAAATTATTTTCCAGTTCTCTATAATTTTAAGATTACTATCAAGTGATGGGGCTACTGGCAACAGGTTAACTATATGTACTTTATGTGAGCTGAATTTCCTGAATGTGACAATACTGATACTTTTATGTATTTCTTGCTTATTCTGGATTCCTACTTTAGATACTGAAGCAATACAGCATCTTACAGCGCTTCGTTTAAAAGGCTCTGACTTCCAGCTTATCAAGGTTATAGGACGTGGAGCTTATGGTGAAGTACAATTAGTACGGCATATTACATCACGAAACGTTTATGCTATGAAATTGCTCAACAAAAATGAAATGGTAAGCAGCGGGAAAGGAACTTTATTTCATGAACTTTATTTTACAGCTGTTTTAAATCTTAATCTTTATAGAAAATCAGAGGAATTGACAGTTGACAAGTATCTAACACTTTTGTTTTTTTTGAGGTGCGGCGAGCTGATTCAGCATTTTTTTGGGAGGAACGAGATATTATGGCGCATGCTCATTCTGAATGGATCGTGCGCTTGCATTATGCTTTTCAGGATACTCAGTTTTTATATATGGTGATGGAATACATGCCTGGAGGTTAATTCGATTTCGAAAAGATTAATGACGCTATTTTAATTTTTTGCCTTGAAGAAAATTCTGATTGGAAAATTACTTTAGATTTGAACGAAAATATGATACAAAGATATATATGTTTGATAAAATCTACAAAAATGGATGCATTTTTTTAGGCGATTTGGTCAACTTAATGACTTCATATGATGTGTCCGAGAAATGGGCTCGATTTTATGCAGCTGAGCTGGTAATGGCATTGGATACCTTGCATGGGATGGGCTACATTCATCGAGATGTCAAGCCAGACAATATGCTTATAAGTAAATCGGGCCACGTGAAATTAGCTGATTTTGGCACATGTCTGCGGATGGGTTCGGTAAGCGTTATGTGCAGGGATGTAAAACAGGACATAGATGTTTGTAGTTGTTCAAAATTGTTCCATTCCTGAAACTTTGTAGATAAGTTAACATTAAGGTTATATAGATAAATTAATTCTAAAGTTATATTTGTTGTAACTATTGCAGGATGGTTTAGTAAAATGTACGACTGCAGTTGGTACTCCTGATTATATTAGTCCAGAAGTGCTGGAACTTCAAGGTACTGAAGGAGTATATGGTCGGGAAGTTGATTGGTGGGCTGTGGGTATATTTGTATATGAAATGCTAGTGGGTGAAACACCGTTTTATGCCGATTCTTTGATGGGAACTTATACGAGAATTAGAAATCATGCAACAGAATTAAAGTTGGTTCTTTTCAGTGTAGAAAAAAACTCTCATAATATTCCTGGCTTCATTGCATAATAGTTTATAATTTCTAGTTTTCCGGAAGATGTTGAGATGTCCGAAAATGCCAAAAATTTAGTACGCGCTTTTCTGTCTAGCTCAGAGAAACGGCTCGGTAGGGATGGTGTCGGAAGTATAAAACAGCATCCGTTTTTCCAGAATGATGAGTGGAACTTCGAGACTATTCGGAAAGGTTAGTAAATTAATCATTAATTTTTGAAAATATCAGTTGTCTTTATTTGTTTTTTTATTGTTTCCGGTAATAAAAATCTTTTCAGCGGTGCCTCCGGTGATTCCGGAGCTGAAAAGTGATGATGATGCCTCTCATTTTGATGATATTGAGGCAAAAGAACCGGATCCCGCTGAGTTTTTTCAAATTCCAAAATCATTTGCCGGCAATCAATTACCCTTTGTTGGTTTCACTTATTCTAATGAAACTGGGTTAGTTTTAACTGCGCTTAAAATTAAGATTACGAAATTCATAGTAATTTTTATCCTCTGAATCTTGTTTTAGACCCATTTCTGTCATTCAAAAAAAGTTTGAAGCCACGTCAAGAAGTGATGCAGTACAGGTTCGAGCTGCTCTAAATCACCTGAATCAGATTTCCGAATCGCAACTAGAGGTATATTGATAAATTGCCATGATTAATATAACGCACTTGATGTTTTTATTTATTAATTTGCTACAGATTATGCGGTAAAATTTTAGAATGAAAAGCGAGAGCTTGAAAAGGAATTAGCAGCATATCAGGTACAAGTGAAAGATCTGGCTCGAAAACTTGATATGGAACGCGAAGAAATGAATATCAAAATTAAAATGATAACCTCTCTGGAAGAGCAGCTGGTTATTAAAGCAAAGGTGGAAGACCGTGTGAAAGAACTTGAACGACAGATCGGAGAGGTTTGTCGTCTTTGCCTTATTAAAACGATTTCAGTGTTGTTCGATCATTTGTTTAGTGCGTGTCTCCTGTATTGATGTTTGTGCTCTTGAAAACTGCTGACAATCCATCCACTGAACTTTTTAAAAGAAAAGCTGATATTGCTTTATATTGACAATATTTTCCTGCTTATTGCTTGTTTGCAGATTTTGCTAATTGTCGAATTTTGTTTAATTCAGCATTCCTGGAAGTGATTTTAGTCATCGATTTTTGAAAAATTTAATCAGTAGTTGTTTCAGCTAAGTGAGAAATGTCGCCATCATGCAGAAGCAGAAGAACGTGCCAGAAAGCAACAAAGTGAATTGAATACTAAATTAAATTCACAAAATGAAATTGTTCGTGAATTAAATGAACGACTTCAGAAAAGTAATGAAGAGGAGGCGCTGCTGCAGCAGCAAATTGATCAATTGCATGCTTTAAATTCACAAGAACGAGAAAATTTAAGACGAACGCAGCAGCGGTCCAATGTAGTGTTTTCTTTGTTTTGAAAACTCGATTACTTTATTAGTAATTATTTGTTTGAATATTCGTTCCTTTAAGATTTCGAATTTATAACATCAAATTATAGGAACAAAATGAAAAAGTAGAGGAGTTACGAACGGAATTAGCAGTAGCACGTGATCGGGAAATGGCATTGAAGTGTCAGGTGGGAAAACTGAGCGATTTAATGGCGCAGCAGGAAAATTTTTCTGATGAAAACAGAATTAACGATGAAACCAGGAAAAATAACGTGCGTCTCGTTGGCGATCTTCAAGCAGCTCACAAAAGGGTACTTTTAATTTCTATGCATTGCTTCAGCCACTGGTTTCGTGCCAAAAATGGCTCTATACGTGATATTATCCTCTCTTTGTATCAAACCTCTATATTTTGCATAATAGCATACTATCGAAACGTCAGCATTGGAATTCGTAAAATTCACAAAACTAAAAATATTCACTGCTGTTATTAATTCATTATTTAATTTTATTTTACAGATAGAGCAGTTAACATCCGACTTGGAACAAGAAACTAATCGTCGAATATCAACACAAAATGATGTACACTGCTTGAATGACC